CCCTTGGCAGAAGCAAACTGGGAACATATCTAGAGAGGCCCCTTTAACGTTGGCACGAGTAAGAGAAGTGAGGTGGCCTGCTCTGAAGCATTCTGAGACCTGTGTCAGTTCTGAGGGAATGGAGATCTTGGTTAGCTCCAGCTGAGACCTTGTTAAATAGGCACATCCATGATAACCACTGAACTGAGAGCTGTGATTTCCAAACAAATGGGGGAAGGAACAGAGGAAACCCAGCAATCCCACACGGACAGCAGGAAAGGAGGAAATGCCAAAGGATCATATGTAACTCGGAACACAAAGTAAGTAGATATATGTTCAACTATATCAATTATCAGAACACAAGTAAATGGATTTTAAAGCAGAATAGCTGTTAATGAGAAAAACCTAAAACATGAACAGGATGACTAGGCATGGAAGCAGTTTGCACATGGCCATTTGGGGCCAACGAAGCTGGTGTCAGACAAAATGGGCTTTATGTCAGAGGCACTGTCAGAGTCATTAAGGTGCTAAATGCCTAAGCCATAAAGAAATAGTTTGCTATGCTAAAATTTTAAACTTCTATGATTAAAAAATCCTTCACTGAAAAAAAAAGCTGCAGACAGCAATCTGGGACTGAGGGGCACTGCTGTCCTGAGCAAAGACAGGCACAAATCACCCAGGGAGGGCAGGTGTGCAGGAGAGCAGGGAAGAAACCAAGTCTGTGCTGCCCCAGGCCTGGCCAGCGTCCTCAGGGAGTCAAGAGGGCCCCTCCCAACCTGCAGCCCTCACAGCCTTCAAACCACAGACCAGGGTCATTCCCACTGGAAGCCCTTCCCCTCCCTCTCACTCAGACCTACCTGTGACCTGCAGGCTTTACAGGGCCTTGTCCCACCCTCTCCTTCCCTTCCATGCCCCTCCTGGCCCCTCCCGCCCCACCTGCTTGAGCTGTTTGTATACCTGCACCTGCAAGTCAACTTTGGGGCTTGGCTCAAACACAGCCTCCCAGCATCGCGTTGCCCACAAAGCTGCCACCTGGGCTGCCCCCTGCCCCACCCTGGCTAATCCACCTGTGTGGCACCCATCCCCTTCTGATGCATTACAGAACTTAGTGGTTCTGTGGTCACTTCTCCCTCCCTTCCCCCATGCACACGTGTACACACACATGGGTGTCAGCTTCAGCACGGCACAAATGTCTGCATCCTTCCATCTCTGGTGTGTCCCCAGCCCTGTCACGGGGCCTGGTGTTTACCAGGGACTTAACAACGACTGTCGAATGATGAAAGGAAGGAAATACACAAAAAGCAACTACCTACCATTCACCCTCCAAAGTCTGACAACACCCAGTGTCAGCTGGAACATGAGCCCCAGGGCTGCTGGTGGGGCACATGGCTGTGGTCCATGTCCCACAAACTTCATATGCCGAAACCCCGCCCCAAAGGTGATGGTGTCCGGAGGTGGACCTTTGGAGGGGTACTAGGCCCAAAGTGTCCTTCAGAAAACATACCACGGAGTGGGCCCCTCCCACCTGTGAGGACGCAGTGAAGAGCTGGCTGAGCCCTCACCGACTGTCTGGCGCCCTGATCTCAGCGTCCAGCCCCCAGTATGTGAGTGTCTGTTGTTGAACCCCCACGTGTGGTGGCGCTGCCACAAGGGGACTGAGGCACCCACGTAGCAGGACCACTTGGGCGGGTCAGGGCAGCTCTCCTGGGGTGTCTTCAGTCCTAAAGAGTGCATTTGGGGGTCTGGAATTGACTCCATGACGGGACAGAGAGTGAGTGAGTGAACTCCATCTGAGGTCTCAACACAGGTGAGTCTGAGAACATGCACAAGACAAGGAGGGCAGGTGGCCACTACCGAGGGGGCAGCTGGGGTTGGCCCAGCAAATGGGGGGAGACTGGCCTGCTCTCCCCTGTGAAGGACACAGGAGTCTTAGGACCCCAACGGAGGCCTGGCCAGGGTGTGACGTGCTGCAGGCAGGGGCAGATCCATGCTCTGTCCGGGGCACCTGACACATGTTGTTTTGGAGGCGCTCTTCGACCAGACAAAGGGAACCACCACCACTCTCTGGGCCTTGGGAGGGGTCTCTGCTGGGCCCTGATGACCCTCGCCCCTTCCCACACACGCATCTCCAGGTCCCGGGCCCGGCTGGGCTGATCCCATAGGGTCTCCACACACACATGGCAGAAGCATCTGCTCTCAATGGAAAGGTCAAGTCTGGGGTGTCCTGAAGGCACCTGGGAGAGTCCCCTAACCCCCAGTGACGGCAGGAGAGGGGCTGGCAGGCAGAGGGAGGAAGCAGTCCTAGGCCACAGCAAGGGCCCTGCCCCGTCAGTCAGTCTCCCTCCTCCTGTGACTGGGCTCCACCCTATTGATTTTCACTTTTATCACTGCCTGGTGCCTGAGACAGTAAAGAACTGTCTTAGCGTGTGAGTTAACCAACACACATTTTTAAAGGAAATAAAGTGACTTCATTTGAAAAAAATCAAGTACATGTTTCCATTTATGATAAACCCTCATTATCAAGATTTATTTTACATCAACATTGCAAATGTAATGAGTCCACAGTATCAGAAATACATTTGAAAGCTCCTTCTAAAGGCACCAAGGAAACTACAAAAAGTTATATTATAGTCATCCGCTTGTAAAATTCAAAAATATCAGTATAGATACTGGAAACTTTTTTCTTCCAGTAGAAACTGCCAAAATAGAAAATATAATTTGTGTGCATCTCCTCCCTCCCACCCCAGCCCCACCTTCTATTTGACTGTAATCCGTTTCAGCGGCACAGGCACCAGCCCCAGACAGCAGAACACAGCAGTGACGGGCACTGCTGTCGACCACAGTGCCGAGCAGGCGTGCCGCAGCTGCACCTCCTGCCTCCTGTCGTCATCGTCCCCCCAGCTCTGAGGACAGACAAACAGGTAAGATAACAGACGTGCCGACTCAGGGAAGTTTGGTTGCTGCCTGGCCCAAGCACAGGACAGTCTTAAGGACGGAAGACCTATGGCGTTGAGGTCCAGATGCTGAATTCTACATCAGCAAGCATGCCCTGTCCACCAGCAACGGCCAATCTGGTGCACATGGGCCAGGGAGACTGCAGACAGACAGGCTCATCTGACTGTGAGGGAGGAGGTGGGGCAGCACTGGCGCTGGCAGGACAGGGCAGCGCTGGTGCCTCGCCCCGTGGGCAGGGGCCGCCGAGTATGTTCGGAAAGGCTTCTCCTCCCGGGACGTTCAAGCCTGCAGCTCTCCTTCAGTTATGATGGGATCTGGCTACAGTGTGCAAACATGCAACAGCATCTCTGAATTCCATCTTTTCAGTCCCATATTTTCATAGTTACACATTACACATGCGCGGTACTGCCGTCTGCAGCAGCTGAAGATGGGGAAGGGCAGTGGCCTGCATCCTCTCAGTTGAATGAAGTGAGAGGAGGAGCGGAGGAAGAGCTCTCCCAGGTGGGAGCACAGAGTGGACACTCAGTCTGAACGGGAAGGAGGAAGCAAGATTCTGAAACTCCACCTCTTGTCTTTGGAATGAAATCTATAGATACCCAGGGAGCAGAGGTGTGCTGTGTTTGGCATGAGAACTGGGCAGACCGGAGATGGTGGGCCGGCGTGGGGTGAGAGGGGAAGCGGGTGGTCCTCAGAGTGGCTGGTGTTCGCAGGTGGCAGGTCCTCACAGATGGCTGATCCTCACAGGCAGCAGGTCCTCTGGGTGGCTGGTCCTCAGGGTGGCTCTTACCAACCAGTTTCAGCATTAACCCAGGAACTGAACACTGACACCCCAAAGCCACCAATGACAGAGAGGAAAAACCACACACTGAAGAGTAGAATTTCCAGATGGCAGAACAGCAATCCCTCACTCAGGGCCTCCTGCCACCTCCCTAGACGCCCAACTGGAGGCGACTTTAAGGACAGATGTCCTTTTCCCCCAGGGCCTACCTGCAGTGACCTCTCCTCCTGCCTGTTGCTGGTTTTCACACCCCAATGGGGTGCATTGGAGTCCCCCGTGGCACTTCGCCATCAGCCACACGCCATCTCTGGTTAGAGACTGGGGGTCACCTGCACTTTCTGATTTATGCTTTGTATCAAAACGCTCTACAATCAGAATGTATTACATTTTCAATGAAAAAGAGTTACCTGCCTGCCTTTTCTCTAATCATTCTTCCTGGAATGGTGATTGGAGTCATTTGAAAATTGTGGACAGTCAGCGAGACAGCAGCGCAATGCGACCTCCTGTTTCTTTTCTCTACGTTTTCAACGTCTACCTCCAAACCCAGACTCTGGGGACTCTACGTTACATGCTGCACCAAGAGACAGATAGGCATAGCCATCTTCAGAGGCCCATTCAGAACCTCAGAGAGACTTCCGGAAGAACCTGGACATGGCCCTGCGAATCTCCACCCCGGTGTGGCCTCAAACTCCGCTGCAAGTCGCAGAGCACGTGCTGCCAGACCTGGTGCCCACCGTGCCTCCTGCCCGCTCCTTCCTAGACTCCTTCCATGAATGGGTGCCTGGCCGCCCGCAGCTCAGTGAGTTACAGCCCTGAGCTACTGCTGGCAGTGGAACCCCCAGGGTGGGGTGGCTCTCTGAATGCAAGCCAGGAGCTGGGAGGCAGGTCTGGGGCAGCAGGAAACTTCACCTCAACAATCTGCATGTCCTCAACTGTGGACATGACTGACAGTCAGCCCAGAGCCTGCTGCCACCTCTCAAGCCCCTGAGAGATTGCACCCCATCGGGCCTGCATGCCCCACGGTGGTCACTTCCTGAAAAATTTTAATACCTCAGAGAGAAATACTGTCATACTAGAACCGACTTAAGGCCACTTTGCACTTAAGAACTTTGGTGATATTTTACAAAACACGGAATGTGCTCTTGCGTGTAACACATAACAGAGGACCAAACCGGTGCAACTCTGCAGAGTGTCACCGAGGAGAGGCTCCGACCTGCACCTGCTATCCATCCCAGCTGACAGGTGAATCGGAGCGTGGACAGTCGCCACTTTTAACAACCACCCAGATCTATGGCAGAAAAGAGCATTCAGAGGCTTTGGGAGGCACCAGTGTCGCCAAGGCACTTCTGGGGAGCATTCTGGGCACCCCACTCTGGCTGTGAGCAGCCCACGGTGGGGAGTCCAAGGGCTCAAGCTTGATCATGGGCGTGGTCCCGGGAGCTCTGCAGTCACAGCCCAGAGTGGGGGGCCGGTGGCTCCGCACACAAAGACAGGGGGGAGGCTCCGGCTCAGGAGGGCCATGGCCACGCTCCAGGCAGACGCAGTGTGCAGAATGGAATGGGGCCAGCTCCCTGCCAGGCCTGGGGGGAGCCCCCAGCATGCCATGCCCCAGGTGCGGGGGATACAGGTGGTGCTTGGAGTCTGGCTCTGTTTTTAAGTGCATCCTGGTAGGGAAAGTGACCAGCTGTCTCTTGGCCGCATCACTGGTTCCCAGCCACACCTGGCTTGGGGGCACAGAGTAGCCATCTGCTGCATCCTCAGACCCAGAGTCACTCTCCATCTTGATGGGTATGTTGAGTGACAACATGGGGTTGCATGGGGCCTCCAGGGGCATGGGCACACCTGGCAACTTGATGTCCTCGGTGGAGTAGCCCCCTGCTGCGAGACACTGGACTCCAGGCTGAGGGAGCTGGTTTTCCAGGCTTTCCTGGGGGAAAGGACAGCTGGTGGGGGGGTGTACTTGGCCCTGATCACCGTCCCGAAAGGCTCTGCTCGGCTGGCTGGCATACCCACTAGGAGACTGCTGCAAGCTAGGTGAGTTCCTGAAGGCAGGGACAGTGCCTGGGGTGCTAGGGTAGGGCAGGCAGGAGCCCCGGGGTGTGGCATGCACAGAGAACGGGTCACTCCTGCTGGGCTCCACCTTCAGCTTGGTGCCATCCTGACCATGTTTCCCTGTTGCCCAGTTCAGCTGCCTCATGGGTCCCGGTGTCTCGAAGCAGCAGTCATATGCGTGTATTTCCCGTCTTCTCCTCCTCACCCCGGAGGAGCTGCCTGGCACCCGCCTGTGCTCCTCTCCTCCCCAGTCCCTGCAGAGAGGAGATGGCCAGTCAGACAGAGCAAGGGTGGCGATAAGGGAGGGTGCTAAGTTAGGGTGACACTGACTGAATCTGTGAGGGCTGATACATGCCCACACTCTGCTGCTGCTCTTAACCCGCCTGCAGCCCCGTGATGCCTGTGCCAGCGCCCTTGACCCTCCACCCTTTCCTGATTGGCCAGTGGGACTCTGAGGGCTCGGGATGGGGTAGGGGTGCAGAGATCAGCACCTCTGTAAGGCACCTCCCATGCGTGAAGGACCTGTCAGCCACGCCAGTAGCTACTAACACTGGAAGAGGGGTTTCTGGGTGGTTTCTGTGTGCCAGGCCCTGCCACTGCCCATGTTGCTGCCACAGTCGTTACATGGTGTGGCATCACCTGTGGTAACAGGGGAGATGGTGATGGGGAGCGAGAGGTGCAGCCCTGCAACCACATAGCCAGGCCAGTCCTCCAAGAGGAGACCCACTGGTCAGGGGAGGGGCGGGGGTGCAGATGAGCGGGGAGTGCAGAGGGTTTCCAAGCAAAGGTGAGGGTGGAGGATGAGACAGTCACCCATGCAGGGTCCAGACTACAGGCAGAGGGAGAGTCCATAGGTCCTGGCAGCCTCCACTGAAGCCCCCTCCCCTGTCTCCAGCCAGTGCCCACACATGGGATAATGACTTCTAGGGCGAGAAGCATGTCTGGGCATGTTTCGTATGCATCTGCATGTTCCACTAAGAGCAAGGTTTAGCCAGCCGTCATGGTCAAGGCCTCCAGTCACTCTTTTGTCCTTAAAACCCAGCTGTGACTTGGCTATATATATCCTTGGGCGGGGGCACCACTTACCCTGCGGCCCCCTCAGGGTAAAGGACCAGGTCGGGGCCACCCCTGAGGCACAGACACGTGGCCCTGGCTGGAACCCGGGCCCAGTGGCAGGCATCCATCTGCGCCCTGAACACTGAAATGCCATTTTCTCCATTGTTTCTTCCTGTCAGGAATCAGAGAGGGGAAAAGCCATCATCTCATGAACTGAACGGTGCTGGACCTGACAAGCTTTGTTCTCCACGGACACGATCCGTGCAGTTCCTCAGGAAGGCCCAGGCCAGAGCCCGCAGGAGCCCCCCTCGTCCCAGCCGCGCTCGCTCGCTCCAGACGGAATTTCCACGGAATACGCACGGTTTCCAGAGGCAGGGGAGCCCTCCACGAGACATGGACACATTCTACCCATTTAAAAAGGATGACACAGTGAACTTTTAAAAGTACCTGCTAAGTAATTGGGTTTTCCATGCAGTTCTGACACACACAGACTCCTGGTGGCTTTTGCTCTGTGAAGAACAGAAATAGCAAAATGACATGCAGATCACATGTGTTGACAGTAGAAGTTAACAATAAGACAGGCGTAACTGCCACAGCCTGGAGGGGGAAACACACCAGTAACTCACACTTTCTAACTTGGTGTAGGTTGTAAAGCCTTTTCTCAGCTAGGTATTTGCTGAAGATTCCAATTCATGGCACTTTTTAGGTCAATAAAGGGCTAGAGGATTTGCTTCAGAAAGTCAACTTGCACACAGAATGAATTTTCAGTGCTTTTGTTTTGTTCTGGATGGCCAGAATGAAAATGCAGTCGATTCTTGTTACTTACACTGGTCATGTTCTACATGTCGCTGTGAACACTACATTAGTGAACACCGAGCCGTCACTCCTGAGTGTGCACATGCACACACCGCCCCTCACAGAGCTTATGTGGGACCCTAGGTCTGGGGCAACCCCTCCTGCTGGATTCTTTTTTTAAAATCTTTTTCAAGAGAAAAGACAGGCTCAGGAGTGTTCAGTGACTTGCTTGGGGCCCCTCTTCTAGCAGGGGCAGGGGCGGGATGCAAATCCAATCCACCCTACCGGCCCCAGAGCCACAGCTGCCTCCCCGCCCTGCCCTGCCCCGCCAGCCCCTGGCTGTTTCTGTGGAACAGAGACAGGAGGACAGAAACGGAGAAGATGAGAGAAAAGGGGAAAGAGCAGAGAAAGAGGGTGAAACGCCTCCCTCAGCTGGAATGTGTTCATTGGGCAGCTCAAGTCTCTGCCACTCTGCACAACCACGAATGACTGCAAAAGCCCCTGGATATTGATTTTGGGGCACAAGTAAGTGTTGGCAAGCAGGTGGAGTTGTCCATGTCTGGACCCATGGACAACTGGGCGTGAAGGAGTGTCACAGAGCTATCAGGAAAATTGGGGAGGACTTGATCGGCTGTCTGCAGGGACAATGACACACATCCAGAGCAGCCCTCAGGGCCTCTGACTTTCTGGGCTTGCACCTTCTCTGGTTTCTGAGCTCAGAGGGAAGCGAGCGTGATGTGTGAACCGAACCTGGGCTTAGGAAATCCATTCAGAGTGTCTGGGAATTCCCAAACCAGGAAGTTATTCACTCCTCTCTTAAAATGTTGAGTGGAATCAATGTTCTCCTAGGGCCTCTGTCTTGCCTCTTCTGAGTTTTAATGATATTCTGTACAGTATGGTGTCTGGGAGTGATTCAGCTGTCTTCATGTGTGCCACCTTCGTATCCCTTAGGGCCACACCACACCTGCCACCACCACACACTAGCTGCAGCAGCAGCAGCAGCAGCAGCAGCAGCAGCAGCTGCCAGCCTGTGCTTCCATGCATAGTCACCAGGGGGCGGCAGGAGCCCACCTTGCACACAGATCTCTGCCAGGCGATGGGAAAGGTAGAATTGTCCTCCTGTTTGTAGGGTTGGAAAAACATGTATGGAAGAGAGAAAACTCATTGCCTGAGTTTCAGTTACAATTATCAAGCCACAGCAGCTTGAAAACACAGAAAACTCAAAGAGAATAAATGAAAATGAATAGGAGTGTGTCAGTCCAGGTGGTAAGGAAGCAGGTGTGGACAGGCTCAACCCCCACCAAGTGGATGAGACCTTTGCAGTGGGCTCTGCACACGTGAGTTAATCTCTGGACAATAAATAACTTCTGCCCTTTGGCACACCTTCCTGACTTATCTTGCCTTATTGCTTAGGTTTACAGCTGTTTTCATTGGGTATTGCGTTTTTCCTCCTTTATATTTTATGACATTTTGTATCTTTAAAGTTAAAAGGGCATATATATTTCATTTAAAACTGCTTTAAAAAGCTTCTGTCTTAGCATGGTGGCACCTGCCAGGGACCCAGAGGATGCCCTCAGGGTCACATGTGCCTGTACCCCTAGAAGCCACCTTTGGTGCAGACATGTGAGACCAGCAGCAGCAAGGTGGGTCTTGTGCCACCAAGTCAGTGGCTCCCACCACAGGCTTTGGAGAGAAGCCTCCTATGTCTGGACTGTAACTGGAGGATTTGGGGAGGGAGAGGTATAGGCAGGTTGGCTGCCACCATTCACGAGGCATCTTTTTTTCTTTATCCTCAGCCAAGGACATTTTTTCATTGCTTTTAGAGAGAGAGAAAAACACTGATGCAAGAGAGAAGCATCATTTGGTTGCCTCCCATATATACCTGGACTGGGGGTAGAACCTGCAACCTTTTGGTTATGAGATGACACTCCAACCAACTGAACCACGCTGGCCAGGGCGGCATTTTGGTGTTTTCTAACGGTGGCTTCCATAATGTGCTAGCTTAAAAGACACCAGGTTTCTCATTGTATTGTTTGCTGGAAATAAAGAAAGAGTGGATGGAAAGTCCTCCATGTCAGACACTTTGCTTTAGGCACCAGCCACAGTGAGTGCAGCTGCTGGGGGTTTCTTACTTACTTTGTGTCCATTGTGGCTGAGATGTCTGTCCTGTGCTTTGCCCTAAAAAATGCGCCCTTCATTTTCATCTCCGCCACAGCAGGTAGGAGGACGGGTACCACAACGCAAAACAGTGAGAGCCGAGGGGACAGGACAGTCCCCGATGGTGCCTTCCTCTTCTGTCCAAACAGGAATTTTAGTTTTCCTTGAAACTGCATTGTCTGGTTTTTAAAGACAGAAACATGTTCACAAAGCAATTAACAACACGGTTGAAAAATGCGGGAATGATATGGTCTGGGAAAGAAACACAGACAAGAAGCTTCTCCTAAGTCACTGAGGAGAGGTGAACTGGCATTTCTCCATGCTTGGCCTCCTTGGGCTCCTTGGCCCAGGCCTTTGGAATGACCCGTGGTTCCTCTGGAGTCTCCGCATCAGCCTTTAACCAGGTGTGTGCTTGTGGGTCATGTGTGAGTGTGAAGGTGCATCAGCGTGGGCTGACACCCCAGTAGGGTTTGCTGTAGGGGACCATCTTTGAGAACTGTTCCAGCTTTAACCCTCCATTTCCAAATGACCACACCTCCACTTGTGGTGACAACATTTAGGAACAGCCTGTCTTTATCTACAGTACATAGTGTAAGTTTAAAAGCCAACATGTAACTTAACATTTTGTGATAAATTAAAATAAAGATCTCTATATCATAGAAAAGCTGATCTAAAATTGAGTTAGTTACCAAGTGCCTTTGGGATGCTTGCACTCCTGCCCTTGATATAAGAATGACCCTACAACAGGGCCCCACTCCCTTCCCTTCCCTTCCCTTCCCTTCCCTTCCTCTCCCTCCCTCCTCCCCTTCCCTTCCCTTCCCTTCCCTTCCCTTCCCTTCCTTCCATCCATTCATCCTTCCATCTGCCCACACATCCATCTGTCCATTTCTCCACTGGTCTATGGATTTATTGAATGAACCAATACCTACAAAGCACCTAGTATATGCCAGTCACAAACCTGATATGGAGGATTCAAGGCTGTGGTATACTGGGACATGTTTAACATCAGGCTTCCCATAGGAAAAAGATCTGATTTGTATTGTTTGCCAACTTCATTATAAGAATATTTCTACCATGGTTGATGACAAGCTACTAACCTAATGTCAACTGGACCCCTAAAACTTTAACAAGGAGCTTGCAACACCGTCTGGCCCAGTCTGTGATTTGGGGGGTCCGCACAGTCACGGGCACAGCTGGGAAGAGCCTGAGGTCGCGCACGCACGGTGCTGCCCGTGTGCTTGTTCTCACTGTAAGCGCCAGAGCACTTTCCATTGTGCAGCAACGGACTTAAGGGTAAAATATGACCAGACGCTTATTCTCAAAGCAACTTATTTTGCTTGTTTCCTCGGTGCTTTCACAGTTTTATTTTTAACCAATATTCCAATCTCTGTTTGATGGTATAATAAAATATACAATATCTGTATGTAGCTACAGTAAAACCACCTTAGTTTCTGACAAAATTGAGAACAAAATACCAAAAGAAAAGACTTTATGGACAACCAGTTGCCTAAATAATAGATGGGAGATTGTGTGTCAGGATTGTGGTGCAAATGAATAGTTCTGTTTGGTTTTTGTTTTTTATGGACAAAGGGACCTGGTGGAGGTTGGGGGGCCTGTGGAAGCAGGTCTGCCAGATGCTCATGAGGGCTGGGCAGGAGTCCTCAGAGCTGGTTCAAGAGACATTCCCACTGTCACCTACCAGCCACCTTCTTCACTGTCCCCTTGAATCAGGAGAATAAAATGCAGGGGCCACGGAGCTGTGAATTCACTACCACAATATTGAAGCCAAACTATTGCCAGAAACAGGGAGGTTGCCCATGGGCAGCCAGGCGTGCCTCGCTGAGCTGCGGTCACTCTGGGCAGACACGGAGCCTGAGGCAGGTGATGTGGGGCCAGAAGCACAGCATCTCTGGTGGGAACCCCGTTTGGAGAGGGGTCGGCCAGGCGAGGCTTGGGGAGAAGCACACACTGGTCTCAGGAGATTACTGGCCACAGGGACTGGAGGGGAGGCCCTGAGACCTGGGAGGGCCGTCTCCCAGACACAGCTGTGACTCAGCTTCCTCACTGGTCAGGGTAGAGCAGAGAGGAAGGGGGATGGGGGTGGGAAGAGGAGTAAGACGCCAGGGAAACACCTCAGGAAGGGGTGTGGTTGGGGCAGTGACGTCTGGAGAAGGGGCCTGGGTAGACGCAAAGAAGGAAGGTTTTTTTCATTCTCTACTGTTCTGAAGTGATTGAATTTGTATTACATACAAATAATGTTTTTCTTAAGAAATAAACAACTTCTAACGCAGAAACAAAACAACCAACCAACAAGAACAGGTTCATGAGACTGTAGCCTCTGGAGCGCATGGCCCCCTGCACTGAGCCCGGCCTGCAGTGGCTGGCACCGGGCAGCCCAGGCCACTGGTGCAGAGGGCCTCGAGTCCTCGGAGGTTGGCCCCCACAGCCCGGGACTGATGGGCAGCTCCAATGTGGGATGGTTTGGGTGTGGATTTCCCCAAGGTCTGTGCCTGGGGGTTAGGGGTAGGGGGTGGGAGGTGGGGAGACAGGTTCAAAGGGCCCTGAGCTGAAAAGGGGGCACAAAATACTAACAGTGAGACAGGCACTGATGAGACAAGCCAGTAGGTGGCGCCTGAGGACGGGTCTGCAAGGACTGCTCCCTCTTCCAGAGCCACTTAGAGGATGATCCATAGGCAGCCAGCCTCCCCTCCTTACACGCACACTGAGTACCCGCTAGAAGTGACCAGCCCACCCCTGGCCTAACACTCAGGGGCTTTGTCAAACACCAAACACCAAACAACAGGGTTCATCCCTCCCAGGGCCACAGCCCAGGTGGGGAGATGGGCCCTCCAGGAGCCCATAATCCAGGTGGGGACATAGACCCCAGGGTAGAGGCTCAAACTCTGGGGCGGGCAGACGAGTCCCTTGGGGGTGCCCAGTGTAGGTGGGTCTGAGGAGGTGTGTGCCATGGTCAGGCAGTGGGGGCTGGAAGCTGAGCCCAAGAGGCCTGCCCCACAGCACTGATGGCAAAGGACCCTGGGGTCGGAGGGTCTCGGTGTTGAATTGCTACCAAGGGTGGGAGCACTGGAGACTTCAGGAGGCTGTGACCCAGAGGAGACTGTGGGGACCCAGCTGGGGAAGGGGTGGTGGCAGAGGCTCTGGAACGCCACACAGGCTGGGAGGTGGGCTGGGCGCTCTGCTCTGCTGAGCCCCATGAGGCCGTCTCTTCCCTTCCCCGGCCCCTTCAGTGAGGGAGGGAAAATGGTCACATATAAGAAGCAGGAACCCAAGTTATCTATTTGCAAGAGAAGAGGTTAAACCTAAAAGCCTGGCAGGAACGTTGTTTTGGGTTCTTGTGGTGTGTACTGAGAAAAATTTGAAAATGGACTTAAAATAACAGTACAGTTTAACATAAATAAAAATCCAGCAGATTTTTAACATTTCAGCTGTGCCGAGCCATCGACCTGTAGCAGGCATCACATGTTCACTCATGCTCAGCCACCCATGGTCTCACTCCGTCCCGCTGAGAACCACGCCCCCCAGCCCCTCGCGCCCCCTCCGTCCCCTCTGCAGCCGGAAGCAGTGCACCCGGACATCACGCTCACTCACCAGGAAGCCCGAGGTGCTGTCCAGCAGGCAGCGCACACGGCAGATGAAGCAGCGTGTCAGGAAGGCCGAGTACTCGGTGGGGCCCGCGGCCCCCTCCTGGGCCCTGAGAAGCCTCCCCAGGACAGCATCCTCTCCTGCCCAGGTGGCGCCGGCAGTGGTGAGAGCCAGGAAGGCAGTGACCAAGAGAAACAGAAAAACACACTGATAAGCAAGGGCATGCAAGTAACAGCCAGCTGTCGCCCCGTGACACGCGCCCTGGAGGGCACAGCTCGCTTGTCCCCCGTGATCCTGCCTGTCCCCGTGACCACGTAGAGACAGCTGCTCTGACAAAGTGCTCCCACTCCTTGGCCCATAAACACGCCACTTCAGTGTGACCACACACGTGACACCATTGGTTGTCCTGTCTCCATCTGTTTTGAGCTTTACAAAATGGGGTGGCACGTCAGCACCTGGGGTTGGCTTTCTTCACTCAGCTTTATGAGGTAACTATGCTGTTGCGTGAGGTTGTGTTGCAAACTTTTCTTGAGCCATTTACAACTTCTGGGGAGACATGTGAAGGGACCGGGACTCACTCTCCCCTGCTGGGCCCCAGGTGGATGGCACCCTGTCTCCTGGCACCCGAGTGCGCTGTCCCCCGAGTGCCAGTCTGCTCTGCAGCAGCTGGACGCCTGCCAAGTGCATCCTGAGTGGACGGGGGCCTTGGTCTGGTGGGGCTTCTCAGGGGGTTCTGCCTGCAAGGGGCAGCATCTGTGAGCAGACAGCAATCTTTTGGGGACTTTTTTTAAAAAGGTAAATCTAATGTGGACCAAAGGAATTTCCTGGAGGACTATGTCCCAAAGAGAAGGCAAGCACTGTGGCTTTTTGGCGAGAGGTTCTCAGGCCCAGGCAGAGCACAGAGAAGTGGCCAGAGACACCATCACACTCAGGAGCCCATAAGACACGTGGGGCTAAATGGAGGAGGCGACAGGGATGCTAAAAGGGGGAGGGACTGCATCCAGTGTGAAGGAGAAGAGATGGAAGCTATAGGGGAGCAGTTTCTTGGGCAGCGTCCATGTGGAAGGGCTCCCAGTCTCAGTGAGACCCACCTGTCTCTGAGTGCAGGGGCTGCCCACACACCACCTGCGGGGGGTCCATGGCCCAGTGCAGCTGCCGGCAGAAGTCCTGGCGGTCGTCCACATGGATGTAGTCGTAAATGTTCTGGTGCATCACATCCGTCTGAAACATTGCAACAGTTATTTCGGCCTCCCTGCAGGAGTTTCCACACAGTACCTGGTGATTACCACCTGAACAAATGCCTCATCCCGTCTGTCAGGAGCAAGTCAAGTCCATGCAGAGAAAGTCCACGGGAAAGACCAGAGCTTGGCCTTAGCGCCGTTCCCTCCCCACCCTGGGAGGGTGGGCCACATGACCTGCAATGCAGAGCCCTCCAGGCCCCTGCCCACCTGCCACGTGGCACCTTCAGGGACAGAGCAGGAGGCTCGGAGACCAAATGTCTTCTGGGGCCAAGATACCCACTTTTCTAAATTGATTCTGGCCCTCAATGACTTGGGGGAACTCATCAGGCTGTGTTATTAGGGCACTTTAAAGACTATGTTATATTCAAATCACAAAAGTTTGTCAGGAAATCACCCCTGGGAGGTGAGGCAGGAGCCACCAGTGCCTCCCAGCCAGTGACTTCCTTTTTCTTGGCACCTCCAGGCCACGTGCAGTCCCTTCCAGGAGTCCCCAGGGACCCACCAGTCCACAGCCCTCTCTCTCTTCCTCTGTCCTCCCCTCTGCTTGGGCCCTCCACACAGGGGCTGGCCCTCACGGGCACCCAGTCTGAACTGGGAAGTCACTGTCTGGGGCACAAAGGCCACAACCACAGGCCACAAAGGCTGTTGCTATTGTCAGTGAAAACATTCTCAGAGCGCGGACCTAAATGATGTGTGCCCGTGCTACCTTCTCTCAACTGTAACTCTGGCTGAGGCTGGTTGGGAAGCCCTGAATGTCAAACCAGATACCACCTCGGGAAGGCAGAACAGGAACACAATCAGAACTCAAAGGCTGGACTCCAATCCTCTGCATACCCCACAGTCCAAAGAGACTATGTTGTACAGAAAGAAGTGGACACAGAGGTCAGGACGGTATTGTCCCTGGTCAGTGTTGTCCAGGGTCAGGGGCTCTGACATGAACATGGGCCCAACCGGCAGAGACCAACTCGTGGTGGCAGGGGATGCACAATCTTTCCCTCCAGCTCCAGACCGGCTGGCTCCACCTCACCTGGCAGCTCTCAGCGCACCGGAAGGTTCCTGTCTCACCTGGTGGCTTCCAGCTCACCTGGTGGCTCTCACCTTACCTGGAGGCTCTATGATCACAAGTATACTTCCTTCAGGGATGTTTTCCTAATAAACTTTCACAATCCAAGCGTAACATATAGGCTGAAAAGCGCCCGACTCATAAATATACAGCTTGATGAGCTCCTGGTTTAACCCCCACCCAGTCAGGAAACAGGATACCAATAGCGCCTCAGAGGCCACCCCTCTTCCTTCTCACCCTCCCCCCCAGGCGGTCACAGCGCCAACGTCACTGGTTCTGTACGTGAATGGGGCGCCGTGCTATCTGGTGCCCATCCATTGCCCCATGTTGTGTGTGGGGCAGTTTTCATTCCCATTGTTGTACGGTGTCACTGCATGGACACCCCACCTCTGGCTAATCCCCTCCCTGCTGACGGACATCTGGGCCATTTCCTGTCCGGGCCGTACACAGGACACTACCGGGTCTGCGAGGACACACCCAGGAGTGGAATTACATGCTCATGGTGGCCGAAGTTCAGCGTCAGCATCTAACGCCAAATGGCTTTCCAAAGTGAGCGTATGCATACACACTCCCGTTGTGGCAAGTGTGAAAGTCCAGCTGCTTTACGTTCTGGCCAACAGCCGGCCCTTCAGCCTTTCTTTTCTGAGCCACTGTGGCAAATGTGTCAGGGTTTCTTCGTGTGGTTTTAATTTGCACGTCATAAACTCTAAGGAACTTGAGCATCTCACATATTTATTGATCTTCAGATGTGTGTCATGTGTGTGCGTGCGTTTGCCCATTTGTGTCTTTTTCTCCATTTTCCACAGACTAGCGTGCTGAGTTGTCAGCGTTCTTTGTCTGTTCTGGACACAAGGACTCTGTTGGGTGTGCTCCACGGCAAACATTTCCACCCCCTGGCCTGCCTGCCTGCTCTCTCGGTGGATCTAACTCAGTTTAATTCAGAGATGGGGTTTTGTCCTAAGAAGTCTTTTTTTACAGATCTCCTAACTCTGCCCTTAGTTTTCTTCTGGAAACTTCTACCATCCACTTGGTATTTACTGGGTACGGTGTGAGGCAGGAGCCAAGATTCGTCTTTCTGGCAGTGTGTCCAGTTCCCCCAGCTCTATTTACCGGCAAGACCACCATCTCCCCACCGTGGGCAGTGCTGCCCTTTCCGTAAACGCCATCCACGCACACCCGTCTTCTCTGACTTCCAGTTCTCCCAGGGGTCTACTTGTCCTTGTGCTGAAGCCACACTGTCTCAACCGCTGGGCTTTGCAGGAAGCCTTGTGTCCAGGATCGTACGTCCCCCATAGTCACCCCCACCCCTCCCTCTGCTCGGACCCCCTTAGCTCTCCACACTTCCAATTGACTTGTCAATTTCCAGGAAGGCTGCTTTTTTTGTGTGTGTGGTAATGTCCTTAATTCTATAATTTGATCTGACATCTTAATAATAATACTGGGCCCTCCAAATCATGAATTTGACATATCCCTTAATTTATCTGGGTCTTCTTTAATTTCTTTAAAGAATGCTTTATGCTTTCTGTGTGGTTGTGTCATTGCTGAGAATTTGATGTTTTTCCATCCAGTTGCAGAGGGATGGCATTTTTCCCTCTATGGTTTTGATTAAGAAAAAGCTTACGCTGACCTCTGAGCACTGGGTAGTCACGGCTCTCACTGCAGTTCATCTTGTTCTCTCGTGAGTTTTAGTCTGTGACCCAGTGCTTTGCAGAACCCAGAAGAAGGTGGTGAGCTGCACACAGGTCCCCCTGGTTGCCCCGGTCATCACTGTCACACCCAGTTACTAATGAAAGGGATGTGCTGAGTTAGCATGCAAGGTATGGATCTGCGGCTCCACCGAAACAGGACGCAGGTTAACTTGGAGGAGGGCATGAAATGACTGGAAAAGGCATTTCTGACTAAGGCAGATTTGGAGACATTAAATAGGGTTGTTTTTCAGCGTGGGGAAACAGGGTCTGTGCCATAATAATCAGTGTGGCGTGTCTAACTGTCCTGTGTCTTTTTCAATCTCCTAGACTTTGAGTCCAACAAAGTGAAGTCAAGAAACATGAATGGTGGGAAAATGTGAGGAGGGGAGAGAATGATGTAACAATTATTCAAATGGACAAAAACACAACTTTGATCAAGTAAAAGCAGTCACTAGTTTATCTCTAACCCATAATTTATGGAGTTTGGACTAAAAGCGTCACTTTTAACAGTCCTCAGCCCAGCAGTTACCAACTTTACTTCTTTGTGCAAAGTGGGTGTGTATCTGTGACTCACGAGTGTGCTCCGACCAACGAGCTCCAGCAGGTGCCCGGCTCACACGGGGACAGCCTGCCCCAGCTGCTGACCTCTGAGACAACAGACGACTTCTTCAATCAATAAGTGTCATTGGCAACTGCAATATATGTCTTAACCTACATATTCATCACCAAACGTGCTTGAAGACGAACAACCAGACCAGGTTATGATGGGAAGAATCTGGCTCCTGACTTTGTAAAGCATTTTGTATAAGAAGCTCACAGTGGCACAAAACTGTTCTAATATTTTATGAAATATTTTGCATAAATTAAGAGTCAATTTAATGGCATTTGGAAACAATGTCTGTATAATAAAAGGCAAAACTTTTTTTTTTTTTTACTTCTAACTTTGGTGGGAAATAATCAAGCTTCGAGACACATTCAGACCTGGAACCAAGGCCGCCCCACAGGACCTGGCCTTGACCACAGAGCCGAAGCCTGCACTGAGATCCTTCAGTTTTGGCTAAAGGATCCACAGGGCAACTCTGGCGACAGCACAAGAAGGCGGACCAAAGCGGGTTTCTCTGGATGCAGGCCCTGCACAAGCAATGCTGGGAAGTCAGTCGGAAGTTTTGCCACCTGGGGGCTGGAATTGAGTCACGTCCACATCCTCGAAGGGTCCACCAATGACCCTGTGAGCTCTGCACAATGTCAGTGGACCCCTTGGTGAGGGAGCCACTGACCCCGGCCACGACCACCAATCTACTGGTCTTTCAGGGGTGGAGTCAGCTCTGTGTAAATGAGGTGCCCCAAAGCAACTGTGACATACAGGAGGGGACTGTGCAGAGGGAGGACATCAGGGCTCAGCTGGCCATGCCTGGTGTTTGTATCGTCCTAGGAAGGAGAGACTCATTACTCATCGCTACCCATCTCCCTGAGCCAGCGGTCTTCGGGAGATGGACGTAGCTCTTGTCACATACACTTCAGGTGCAGCCAAGGGGTGAAACACTTCTGGCAGCAAGGCTGGTGGTGGGGACGCCTCTCACAAGTGTCACAGACGCCAATGCCCTTCCCATTGCTCTGCATGGACAGGGACCTGTGTGGTCCCAGCAGCTACCTTGGCTGTGGACACTGCTGCTATCCCTTCATGTACAGGAATAAAATGAGGCTCAGAGCGGCACCTAACAGCCAAGACGCCAGAGCCAAGGCTCTGATGTGCAGCCTGGGAATGTCACATGGAGGCTGCACTCACCACACCTCACTCACTCACTCATGGGACACGCTGGCTGTCCCATCGGGTCCCTCAGGGGCCACACCTCCACATGCTGCAGGGTCTTACCCAGACCATGTGATCAGCTACACGAGAAGCCGAGGGGATGGGGAGGCCTACTGTGGACACGTGGACAGCCAAAGGCCTGCCCCAAGGCCCGTGAGAAGGAAGCCCCGTCAGGACAGGGCATGGGGGTCATCCGGTCCTTGGGTTCAGGTGGTAGGAAAGCAAACTGAGAGGCAGGTGTAAGAGAAACTGCTCGTGGTGGGGTGGCAGCCACTTTACTTTTGCAAACATTCAAAATGACAGTTTCTGCAGAAATTGGACTGAACACTTCCTCAGCCTCAGGCAGACTTGCACGTACCTTGAACTTTCCTGATGTGCCAAAGACCCACGTTCTCAAGTTTTGGCTCCACTGCCCCTTGCTTCCAGGCACCTCCCTGGTGTTCTGCCCGTCCAGTGAGATTTTTGCTACTAACTTCACCACTTGCCTCTAGGCTCCAAACCCCACTTTCAGAGCTCTGCTCTGATCCTGGATCCTACCAACATCTCCCCTTGGCCAGAAATGGTGCTTCTGGCTCTGCAGGGGGAGGTCCACCCCCTCGAGTATCAGAAGCTTCCAGCGGCCTCCCGAGGAGCAGCCCACCACAGGCAGTGTCCCCAGAGCCCCGCCGGCATCCCAGTGGACAGCTTCTCCTGGCCAGCCCTGGCCTGGAGCGCCTTGGGGGATTTCTCTACCCAGGGGCCAAGGCCTCACCTCGCCAGTGAGGAGAGGTCTCTAAAATTTGCTCCCCTGGACGTCCAGCCTTGGTGCTGGGGGCACTGCTGTCTTCCACCCACTGTATGTGCCTACGTCTGTTCTCCCTCATCACTAATCCATGCGTGCTACTACTTAACAAATCTTTACATAAACGTACAGCAATTCTTTATATTATCTGTTCCAACCATTGCACAGTTTCCACCCTGCACAGGACCCTGACTGGCTGACACACTGTATTCTTCATTTTCCAAGTTCTATTCTGCTCTTTCTTTGACCCACTGTTACTGTGAGTCCTCAGGGAGCATGTCAGCCCCTTACAAGTCAGGCTTCCCATGGGTTTGTCATTTCATACTGTGGATGCCTCCCCCCAGTCCCAGGAGTCCACACTCTGTGGGAGTGTAAAGCATTTGGGGGGTTTGGATTTCTTACAAGAGACTTCTTTCCTTTCCCAAAGGCCATGCAAAGAAGTTTCCTTTTCCCTTCCTGGGCAGGAATGGGACTTCTCATTGCTCCTTTTCTTGGAGAAGCCACCCCCTGGGTCCCAGTATTTGAGGGCCTCAGCAGCAGCTCTTGTCCCCAATGTCTGGAACCAACCCCCTGGCTGGTCTGTGGAAACATTCCATATGGATTATCAGCACATCGGTGAGAGCATTTCCAGAACACGCTTTGTCCTGAGGTTTAAGGCATCGGTGCTGCTGGTGAGGACTCACCAGAGAGTGACGAGCGTGGGAACCACGCCACAGTCAGCACGGTCACTGTTGCCCCTCAGACGTGGGACACCCTGGACACCATCATGCCTCTTGCCATGACTGAGCCCCAGACAAAGGTGGGCTGTGAAAATCCTTATGTAATAAAATCTCTGTGATAAGGAAAGCTTGATTTTGGAGATGTTTAAACCTCGAAGACAATGAGCATTCACAGGCAACGGAAGCTATTGTGCAGCAGATGCAAGAGCTGTGCTTACCTGGTGGAAGCCCAGGTAGTCTGCGATTGTGGCTGAGGCATAAAATATCACCCCTTCTGCACTCACGACCAGAGCGAAGCCGTCCAGGGACTGGAAGAAACGAAAATCGAGTTGGCTCCAAGATACATGCATGCAATCACTCAAAAGAAAAAAGGGCAAGCATCGTTTCTGCTTGAGACTTCCTCCCTGCTTTGTAGTCTGTACTCATGATCCCCAGAAATGCCTACTCTTTATTTATGACCATTTTGCAACAGGTCTCAAGTCAGCAGGTGACAGGGGGACTTGGTCATAGTTTATAAGGCTTAAGACTTGAGCTATTGTTTTCGTGATGGCTATAAAAGTTGTTTTATAAAATGTAAACTTCATCATGAAAAGATGACACGCCATCAGTACCTGAAACAAAAATGAAAGAAAGGAGCCTGTCTTTTCATTTCACCTGTGTGACTTCCCCATTTTCTTCTTTCCTGTGTTGTAGTTTTTCTAAGAATTTCTAATTATGAAAAAGCAATGAACTCCATTGAGTGTTATATCAACAAAAATAGTCGCATACATTTTTGTTAATCTACTAATGTGTTGAATTACAGGAATAGATTTCCTGATGAAGAATCATTCTGCCTTGGCTGGCTGGCTCGGTTGGCTGGAGCATTATCCTGTACACCAAAAGTTGCAGGTTCAATCCCCAGTCAAGGTGCGTATGTTTCTCTCACATTGATGGTTCTCTCTCTCCCTCTCTCTCTCTCTCTAAAATCAATAAACATCTTTAGATAAGGATTTAAAAAAAAACAGAATCATTCTGGCACACATAGGGTAAACTTAGCTGATCATAACTTTATATGCTATAAATTGATTCATTTCACTTGGGAGTTATTCATAAATTTATGCTACATTTAATGAGAAACCAGACTGTACGCTTTTCTCACTTATGTGTCAAGTGTACGTAATTATAAGATGTGAGTAAGGCCCCTTTCCCTTTCATTTTTCTGGACCCACTTATTTAAGATGAGCTTCATGGATTCCTCGAGAGTTTGGTTCCCCCCCATCACTTAGATCATTCAGTTTGGGCACAGTCTAGGGAGGCAGGAAGTGAAAATGGGTAGATTTCTGTACTATATCATTTATTTAACGGTTGTTAGCATGCTGTTTACATTTTTTTTCTTACATAAATTCTGGCATCTTAAAATATTTCGTAACAATTAATCTATTTGATCTCGATTTTAAATTTGTTAGTGCATGTTATTCATGGTGCTATTGTGATTATTAAATCTATTGTATCTATAATTATTGTGGACTTTATGTGTGCAGAGAAAAGCAGGGCCCGTGGCTGCTGTACTCGACTTCAAGTCCCCCTTCACTTGTAAAGCAAGCCCTCCGGACCACCCTGCAATGGCTTCCCCGAACCGTCACTGCTGAAGACGCACAGGAGACCATAGTGCCTAATGGCAGGACCGGTGGGCATCCTACCATCTGTCTAGCTGCTGTCTGTCTGTCTGTCTTCTCCATCATCACGACCATCGCCATGATAAAGTAAGAGCAGCACACGCCGTTTAGGTCCTGATGAGTGTGAGACGTTGCACATGAACTATCTCACTCGATTTGGCATCGCCTCCATGAGGCAGGAACAGGCCTGACTCCACTCTGCCAGTGCAGAAGCTGGAGGTGAGGGAGGCTGAGACACCTGGACAGTGGAGTTCATAAATATTTCCATTTATATCTTTAAAATGCAGACATTTAGAGACTTTAATTCCCAAGAAGTCTGTGGCCATCTGCAGTATATCATAATACTCACTTAATTCTTGACCATCTGGATACTTTCTTTTTTTTCTTTTTTTTTAAACCTTTGCCACTTTGTTAAGCACTAAACTGCTTGACCATTATTGTGCTTTTCATCTCTGTCATCAGTGAGATTGACAACATATCATACAGTCATCAGTAACTTGTATTTCTTCTTTGGCAAACTGCCCATGCAGGTCATGTGCTAATTTTTCCTTTCGGGTTTATAAACATTGACTTGGGAGAACTTTTAAATGACTCATACTGAAGATACTCTAGGATAAGTGGCCGCCACCAGACCCAAACCCCACACTTCTAAAAAATGATGGAGAGCAACGAGAATGAGCACAGCTGCACAACCCACACCCTTCAACGTGGCGAGGACACAGGAACAGGGCAGGACAGGCAGCACTAAGTCCCAGTGAGCCTGACACAAACGTTTCAAAAGAAAAAGTGTAGACTCCCCCCTCAAGAAGCCAGGGAGAGAAGCCAATGAAATCCATGGTAAGCAGAAGGAAGGAAAAGTAAGAATAAGAGAAAAAGTCAAGGACAGTTGTCTAAAGCAGTCAAATAATGAAGGTCGACAATAAAGTCGAAATTTGGTTCTTTAAAGCTTGATCAAGAAAAATACAAATTACTGATGCCAGGAATTTTAAAGACTATATCATTACAGATCCTACAGACATTAAAAGGATAGTAAGAAACATTAAGACTGATAGTCAATAAACTAAATAAGTTAAATGAAATGGACAGATTCCTCAAAAAAACACTCAGAAAAGTGACGTAAGAACTAGAATATCTAAAGAGCCCAATATCTATTAAACAACTAAATTTGTTTAATTAAACAATTAAATTTATAATCACAACTATCCCACAAAGAAAACTCCAAGCCCAGATGAAAACAAAGTTAACCCTAGTAATAAATCTAATAAAACGGGTGTAAGACCTGTGTACTGAACATGGTGACGCATGCGGAGAGGCGCCCGAGTGCACTGATGTGCAAGGTCCTGACTGAGAGACGCCAGGAGTTAGAACAACGCCGTAAGGCTTTGCCGATGCCTCCCCAGCTGACTCCAAAGGTGCGGTAATTACAGCCACTTGGTGTAAAGACAGACCAGGACAGACAAGGACAGACCAACTGTCTTCGGCAGAGGTGCTGGGTCAATCCAGCGGGGAAAGGAAAGTCTTTTACGCAAATGTACCTGGGACAGTCAGTTAGGTGGTTGGGAAAGTGAACCCTGACTGCTGTCTCATCCCAGTACTTCCAACCATTAAGATACAGTTCAGAAAGGACAAGATGTGACGCTCATGAAAACAGGAAATGCGCTCATGTCAAAGTTTCCCTCCAGAGGGAAGCAGTCAGGTCGAGGCTGCTGCGAGAGGCCAAACCCAGTCCCCGGATGATCCCCAAGTGGAAAGGGTGTGCCACCCAAGTCGCTGGCTTGTTTCAAAGTTCCAGATAATTTTCCTGACACAGAGGTGCAAACACCAGGGCAATGACCTCACAATGTGATTAAGACTTTGTTCTCGGAGCGAGAAGTCCCAGCTCACATGACGCCGCAGCGGCAGCAGCCACTTGCAGCCTGAGACAATGACCACAGATCACCACAAAGCCCATTGGCAGTCCCGGACCCCCGGACTCCGATGTACTTCTAAAGAATGGGAAACTGACCCATGCAACGTAAGCGTCTACCATGACCTATCTGGGAACTAAACAAACTGTGTCATTTGTTATTTCAATTTCTGTACAGCTCCATGGACACGTGCCTGGTGCCACTGTCCTGACATCTCTGAGTAGAGAGGGATGGGCAGTGTCTGCCTGAACCTCGTCCTTCTGGGTTAGTCCCGAGGCTGAATGTGCAGAGTCTCCCCAGTGCCTCTGTTCTGAGACACACAGTATTTCTTGGGGGGAAAACCTGTGAAACGTTTGAGATTTGCTTGGCTTATTTATTTTTTAATCCTCATCAGAAAACATTTTTTTCCATTGCTTTTAAGGAGAGAGGAAGGTAGGGAGAGGGGGGGAAGAGAGAGAAAGTGTGAGAAAGAGAGAGAAGGGGTGGGGGAGAGCAGGAGAAACTTTGATCAGTAGCCTCCCATTCACTCTCTGACTGGGGATCAAACCTGCAACCTAGGCATGTGCTCTGACCAGGAATCAAACCCGCAACCTTTCAGTGTACAGGACACGCCCCCCCTTAACTGAGCCACATGGGCGAGGACAAAAGATTTACTTGTTTTTATCATTTAACAATAGACTCGATTTGTCTAGTCTGGTGAGTGCAGACAGGACAGACACAGCTCCCCGCCCCGCACTCCCCCCCCCCCCACTGTGGTCGGACTCCAGGACCGGAAGCTGGGGGGGGGGAGGGGGCTATGAAAGCCACATCACATGGGTGTTTTCCTAGGCAAGTGAGCCCTGGTCTTGAAGGCCGGTCTGCCCTGCCTGGCAATCAGTGAGTTTGGATGTCCACCCCCCACATCGCGTCTTGTGCCACTTCGGAGACATTTCACCTAAACATCTAAGACGTCCCATCCTCTCCCACCAGCTCAGAGGTTTTCCTAGAGCACCTTTACTGTCAGTACCTGCAACCAGGCCGTGACCCACCGAGGCCCAGATCGCCGTGTTCCTCAGACTGCTGACCCAGCCAAGGCAGTATGTTTTTAATGACAATTTTTTAACTAAATTTTTAAAAATTGAGGTAAAATACGCATAACATAAAACCCAGCATTTTAACCATTTCTGAGTGTACAGTTTGCTGGCATTAGGCCCCCTCACTGTTGGGCGGCCACATCCACCATCCTCTCCAGAACTTTCCCATCTTCCCAAACTGAGGCTCTGCACCCATCACACACTAACTCCCCACCCCCTTCCCCCAGCCCTGTGCCTTCCCTGCTGCTTTCTGTCTCTGTGAGTCTGATGGCTCCAGGGACCTCAAATTAGTGGAATCACACAGGATGTGTTCTTTTCAGACCAGCTTGTCTCACTGAGCATCATGTCCTCAAGGTTCGTCCACATTGTAGTGTATGTTGGAGCTTCCTTCCTCTTTCAGGACAGAGTAATGTTCCAGTGTGTGGCTGGGCCATGCTGTGCTTCTCCATTCATCCATCAGTGGCCGCTGAGGTTGCTTCTGCTCCTGGCCTACTGTAACTGATGCTGGGGTGACCATGTCGGAACCAGTAAGACAGTGAGCGAATTTGCAAGAAGGAAGGTATCTGAGGTAAGCATGAAATTCATTTCAACAACCTTTGCTCTTCCCTGACACCCTGCCTGGGATAGAAGAGGCCCATGATGAGGTTTAAGATACTGCCAGCCTGAAGAGCTG